TGGAGTCCTAGGTCACCAACTGGGACCCACTTTTGTGCCTGTAGCATGCCCGTCAAAAAACTAGATCTAACTATTCAGGGACAGGTACCATGTATTTATACCTTAGCAGACACTGAACTCATTATTCGAGAGTCATAAAAGTTAAATTTGGGGTAGCCTATACCTGTCATCTCTTCTCATAACCTGTCACAGCTCCTCACTGACAAAGCCTTAGAGACTATACCTCACTTCAGGTATCACTAATATCCACACTTTCCTTCCAAACATTCCTACCTCTTAGTAATTCCAATGTTCTCCCTCCACCATATACTAACCACTCCCTATCTCACTCCTCCACTGAAACTTTAGAGGAGCTATTACCTCATCCTTCACACATGCAGGAGGGCACATTAACTCAAGCCATCTTTACCTGGTACACAGACAGCTGTTTCTTTCTACATGAAAGGGACAGAAGAGCTGGCTATATTATAATGTCAGACACAAAGGTGATTGTGGCACATGTCCTTCCTGCTCATGCCAACAATCAAAAGGCTGAACTAATAGCCTTAACCCATGCCTTTCAACAGGCTCAGGGACAATTTCTCAACATCTGCACAGACTCCAAATATGCTTTCCATATCCTCCTGCCTCCTGCCACTATCTGAGAGGAGCCTGAAAGAATCCGTACAACTAAAGCAGGACCAGTAACTAAAGCAAAACAAATTATGGCTATGTTAAAGACCTCCAATCTCCCTCCAATCTCTAGTGGGGTTGTCCACTGCAGATACTACCAGACTGTTGACTCTTTTGTTTCCAAGGGAAACAACTGAGCTAACACGGCAACTAGAGTTGTGGAACTTAGGGATGTAGACTCTTCCCAAGCTTCCCAGAACATTCTTACACTGCAACTCACATTTATACTCTCACTCCCTGACACTCATCAAACTCTGTTCTATCTTCACCAACTCTGTCATCTTAACAGCCAAGCATTGTCTTATTTTGTTAAGAACCACCTACAACCTATACCTGAGGACTTAAGTTTCTCAGAATCTATCAATGTCTCTTGCAAAATCTGTCAGATGTCAGACTCCAACTCCAGGTATCATATCATCCCTTTTCCTACCCATCAGGCTAGAGGTTTCCTTCCTGGAACTGACTGGCAACTTGACTCTTTTCACATGCCCACTGTCAGATGTACTAAGTACCTCTTGTTCTTGGTGTACACCCCATCAGGGTGGGTGATGGTGTTTCCCCCCACTAACAAAAGGGCTCAGACAATTTTTGATCTCATTCTCTGAGAGGTCATCCCCTGATTTGTTGTCCCAGCCTGTGTTCAGTCAGACAGTGGCCCTAAATTTACTTCCAAAATTTCTCAAAGTCTATTTAAGGCACTAGAAATCCCCTAGGTCTTTCAAATTTCCTACCTCCCTAATCTTCAGGTAAACTAGAAAGAACCAAATGCTCTTTAAAAGCCATTCTTGTCAAAATGTCACAGAAACTTCACCTTGATTGGGTAAAACAACTACCTCTGACTCTTTTCATGCTACCAGCTCTCTCCAAGCAACCTCTCTTCATCTCACCCTTTGAATGCATGTATAGACAACGGGCCCTAACTCTTGATCTTTCACCTAAATGCTCTCCCCCTCCCTGATGATCTACTTACCCCATTATTTTGCCACCCCTGCTCTCTCCTAAGGAACTTTGTTGACCACCCTCTATGGAGACTACAAGCTGTTTTCTGACCATTGCCTGTCAACCTTGGAGAACAAATTTTTTCATCCGCTGTAGACCATCGCCCCTCTCCCCTATCTGCTAAATGGCAGGGGCCTTTTAAGGTAATTCTAGTGACCCCTACAGCTGCTAAACTCGAGAGACTCTTTCACTTGGTCCACTAGTCTCACCTCAAAATTTTCATTCTTCTGCCTAAAAATTTTTCATACATAAAACATAACCAACATGCTCCTTAACAGGACCATAGTATGTTAAGCTTGAGAAAATGTGAAGACCACCCACCCAACTTGTCCCCAATCCCAGAAAATGAGATTCCACTCCAGCAGCTATGCTTGAAACTACTGGATTAGACATAGGCTTCTCATCCTGGCTTTGCTATTCATTTCTATATAGGGTAGCCCTTACATCTGGAGATTTGAAGTTCAAGAAACCCACACTGATAACAGTCTTTCCAAATAGGGTCAGAAAACTGCTCTGTAGCCAGATTCCAGGAACCAAGACAAATTCTGACATCCCTATATCCACCATTCCATCCAAATATTATGATCTCTTTGTCTGATTTCTCTTTAAATAGACAAAAGATGATTGTCAAAAAAATGGCCAGATGAACATGGGGGCTGCCCATATTGTTCCTGTGTGATACATATGCTAGGATCATGAACCAGTCACTTCTATCAACAAAAAAAATTCTACTCTTTTTCTACATACAAGATCCATGGAATCCCAGATGGAAGACAGGAGACAGGAGTTGTTGGTAAACTCTACCTTAAAAATCAAGCCGGGTCCCAAGTAAGTACTATCTGCATCTAGAGAAAATATATCTGAATTGCCCAAACTTTAGATATTGGAAAATAGGAGAGGTAACCAAACAGTCCTCTGAGGTCCTTACCTCCTTGATATCCCCCCTCACAAATGGCACTAACTTGTCATTTCACCTTTTTCTTCAGACCTTGACACCTGCCTACCAACTCCTTAAAGTCACCTGACATTTAAAGATTGCTGGCTATATGTACACCCTGGAACTAACTCACAATTTCCACTTACAGCTTCCCCTGTGATACTGCCAAGTAGCCTTGCCTCACCTTTTGTCAGCTGCCCTGAATATGATGTTGTCATGACTGCATACCTTTCCTCTATCCCTCTTCTTGGCATGGTAAATTGTTTTAAGACTTCTGTGACATGTTCTGTAGGAACAATAAGCTCCCTAGTCTGCAATAGAACCACAACCTTCATCTCTGCCAAAATGTCCTGCAGACAAAAACACATCAAATCTTTGTGGCTCACAGGTGTGTCATTGCGTACCCACCAGCTGGTCAGGAGTTTGCACGTTGGTACTCCTTTTCCCTGAACTAGGAGTTATCCAGGGAAACGAGCCCCTGCCATTTCAGTTGTAGATGTGATATGAGAGCTACCCAACATAAAAGGGTGGTTCAGGTCATGCCACTCTTGATAGCTGTGGGAATAGTCAGAGATGCTGGTACTGGCATTGCAGAGACATCGACTTCCATGATCCAATATAATCAGTTCACTTCCGAGCTTGACACTGGTTTTTAAAAAATAAATAAATAATCTGAAACCATGCTTACAATCCAGAAACAGATAGATTCTTTGAGAGCTGTAGTGCTTGAGAACCAACAGGGGCTAGATATCCTGACAGCTAAAGAAGGTGGTCTTTGTCTGTTCCTCCCAGAAGAATGCTGTTTCTATGTCAACCAATCCGAGACAGTGAGAAAAAGATCCAGGAGCTACATTTAGACATCCAGAATCACAGGGATAGTGAGGACTCCAATTCCTGGGTTTTTAAAATCCTACGTGGAAGTAGATACTCCCTTTTGTAATGCCTTTCCTAGTCATCTTCCTGGTATTTGCTCCCTGCCTCATTAATCTTGTTTCTACTTTCCCTCAACTACAAGTACAAAAAGTTTCTAAGCAAACAATCAGTTTCTGTTACAGAATCACATCCACTGTCCACAGAGGGTCCTGATGTGAACATTTACCAAGTGGACCCTGATGGTTGAAGTCAGCTACAACCCAAAATTGATGAAGCCCCTATACAGGAGGAAACAGCTTAAGAGTCCTGACTCCTCTATTTCCCTTTCACCATTAGCTTACCCCTCCCCCTTTTTCCTTCTCTTTATGATAAGAAAAAGGGAGATATGCTTACATCAAGAACTGACTTTACAGTCAGGAGCTAGCTCTATGGTTGCAGATCACCTTCGAATCCAGAGATGACAGTGACATCACACACAGGTGACAGGAACCCATGCATCTGTTGCCATGGCAATTGCCACACATTCCCAAAGTCCACCTGGCTCACATTCCACTTCTATCTGCAAGAGGTTGAGTCAAAACCCAACTAACAGACAGATACTCATGACTTCTCCTCTCTTTCCCCCTTGGTCCTAATCTCCACCTTTTGCCCTTTGCCCGCACAATAAACCTCTCTGACATGGAACTATACTGGTCTGGTGTGGTCTATCCAGAGGAGAGCTGTGATTCTCTCACAAAAATTGTGTTCGGAGGCAAAGTGAACATTTGGTGCTTTTTTCTTTCCTTTAGAATCCAAAGCAGTTCCTAGGTGCCAGTTATATCTCCTGACCCTGAGACAGACAGTGGGTCAGAGGAGGAGGAGGATACTGGTCCACATGAAGTTCTGGGTAGCTTGTGACCAGAGAAAAGAGCATCAGTGTTAACACAGGATCTGTGCAACCTCTTTATTTTTATTCTATGTGCTTCTCCACAATCAGATGGCTTGTAATAAGTGGTTTGAAAATGACAGACTATGAGTGAACATGTCATTCGCAGGCTTCACTTGTCCACCATTGAGAATGGAGACATTCACTGCCATGAGCATGTGTTGTATCCTGAGGATACCAATGACGTGGGTGAGGGCTCCTGTGTCTCCAGAAGCTGTCAGTCAGATGGTTCTCTCCTTCCTGGGACTCACGGTGAACAGGCACCCAACTGCTGGAGCCAAGTGGGAATCCTCAGATGTGGCACGTTCTCTTATCCAAAATCACTATGCTGCCTGCAGGCCATATAAACCTTGACAGCCTTTGAGGATGTGATGGTGTCCATGAGCAGAAGGCTACTCTGGTCAATCTGATCACATCTGCCTCTTCCCTTTGCACAAGTTCTCTTGCCACCTTGTTGATAAAGAGTAAAGGAGGAGGAAAGGTGACTATGAAAGTGAGGAACCGGTCCCTCATTGTGTGCTTCACACAGAGAGCCTGGAACACATTCCCTGAAATTAACAGCCTCTTCTTGCAGAGAGCTGCTGCTGAGATGGTGTTCTATCTTAGTGCAGTGAAGGTAAGGCAGAACTTCCCTTTAAGCCCACTCCACAAAGGTGTCACATCCTTCCCTTCTGCCCTTCTTCTACTTTTTGTCACGTTCTTGGACACTGTGAAAGTGGATTCTGTTTCCCTATCTCCACACTAGGCTGCAGCCTCTCACCATCTGCTTGTCAACTGAAGTAAAACGTATTCAACATTCTCTGAGAATTCCAGATAACTCTGCACATTGACCTCCTAGGCTATTATATATATATATATATGTGTGTGTGTGTGTGTGTGTGTGTGTGTGTGTGTCTGTGTGTGTGTCTGTGTGTGTCTGTGTGTGTGTATATATATATATATATACATATATATATATATGTATATATATACATATATATATATATGGCTTACATTTACACATAACATACACACATACAGACACCCATACACATACACATACACATATGTGTACATTCACACCACATACCATAACATGCTCTGTTCAAGTAGCAGTGATCACCACAGCGTGAGAAGAGGTCTCTGGATAGCAGGTATCTTCCTTGTGTTCACTTCCTGCCGGTTATGAGTGAAGCACGGGAAGAGAATTAGTGGGTAAGAAGAATTAGCAGGTTTTGGTAACACTCAGGTTGTGTCAGGGAATGTGGGAACAGTAAAGGATTTTAAGGCTGTAGGGACAGGCTGGGAGATGGTAGAGACTTTCAAAGGATTTCCCAGAATAGGGAAGATGTATTTTCACAAATGTTGGGCCAGCGTGAGTTCAAGTGGGTACACAGTGTCCAGGGTCCCTGGGAACATCAGATGAGTGTGGTCTGGGAGGAGACTGGAAACTGAGGACCATCACCAAGATGGAGGTGGAGATGTGGAGCTGGGAGTCAACAGCAGATGGCAGCACAGCACAGCAGGTAAGACTTAACCTGCATAGTTTTGCCTGGAGCTTCAAGGGCCTGTTCTGTCCTCCATTGGGTGCAGCATGGCATAGTCCTCCCTTCTCCACTTCCTGACATCAACCAGGAGATGGCAAGGAGAAGATGAACACAACACCTTAACGCTGCTGCAATCACTTGGTGAAACATAGTGTCACCCCTCTTAGAAGACGCCTGGCTCTTCAGAGGTTCTGTTTTGGTAAGGAAGAGATTAAGGAGGAGGTCAGAGGGCATCAAATAAGGATCCTGCAGCCTGAGGAATAGGCAAAGTACAGTGGCAATCATGTGTGCAGAAACTCTCTTTCTATACCTACAAAGCCATTTGGGGACAGGGACTTGCAGTTCTTTTGATACACTGATGCCTATGATACATGCAGGAAGCCCTTACTTTGCTCCTCAGCACCACATAACCCAGGTGTGGTGGGCCAGGCCTCTAATTCTGGCATTTGGGATGTGGGGCCTAGAAGATCAAAATCTCAAGGCTATCCTGGTGAGAAAGGAAATTTGGGGCTGGCCTGAGCTATATGGGCTCTTCAAACACACACACACATGCACACACACAATTCCACACATAAGCCATACCATACCACAACAACTGGCATACACATACAAAAATACACACACACACACACACAAAATTCCACACATACCCCAAGCCATGACACCTCACCTGGCATAAAAACACACACACACAAATACAAACACAAAGACACACGATTCCACAGGTATGTCTCTTCTAACACACACACACACACACACACACACACACACACTCCAAATGAATACAGTCATCAAATTTAAATGTTAACATAGGGCTCCACATTGACATACACCTTTGCTTAGGCAGGAAGCTAAGGTTTGAATGTGCTTGATAATGACTGAAAGACATACTGAACTGATTCCCTGTGTTGCTCTTAGAAGCAGACACAAAAAACAAATGGAATTAGTGCTGTGTGGTGGATTCCTACAGAAAGCAATGACTGCCTGTTACACAGAGATTCTCAGTACTTTTCAGTGGCCCTAACCATGCACACTTTCCCCTAAACCAGCACCATGAGGACAGAGTTTATGACCAGTTTCTCCATCCCTGCACTGGTAGGTCACACTAAGCACCATGGAAACCCTTCTCCTGTCACAATGACTCCCAGCATGACACCAGAGCCTTGGGCAGGGCTCCCCACAGTATTGCCACACTGTCCACTGGGGCTGGGAAGGGGATGGGGAGCTGAAGATCTCAGGGTCCTCAATCAAGGAGTGGAACTTGATTTCCAAAGAAAAGACAAAAAAAAATAATGGGCTCATCACTGCAACAGGCTGATTTACCATCAGGACCCTGGTCTTCCCTCCTTTTTCTAACTTGCCCTCTCCCTACAGGGAAAAAGCCAGTCTTCTCAAGAGTCCCACTTCTCCGCAGAGGCTCTGGCCACATTCAGAAACCAGTTCCTGAGAGATCTGTGCAGGACGGCCCAGCTTCTCAGAACTGTTCATAGATAGACCCTCAGCTCTGAGAGCGCGGCTGCCTTTCTCCTACCAAAGCCACCTCCATTGGACAACATCTGGTAGTAGGAAGAACTGAAGCGGAGTTTGGCATCCAGGCAGCGTGGGACAGGGTCCAGAGACAGTGAAAGGTAATCTGCTACCATCATGTAAGCAGAGAATCGGTGTTTCTAGAGATCAGGCATATCCTTTATGTCTGCTCATCAGCTAAGTGTGGACTCCCAGAGAGGAGTTGTATCCTGTCTATCATGTTTAGTGACAAGTTTGTAACCTAATGGTCTCAAATCCTGTGGAGAACATTTGGTTCTTTTCTGGTTGAAGAAACTGGACCTCCACAGGTCATATGGCTCTAGGAAGCCCATTAGACTTGAATCTGTGGCAGTAGAGGCTCTATTTCTAGGTATGTGCCACGTATCTTATTACATCCCACAACACAGAGGATCTTGATAATTGAGGGGGCCACAGTCGGCCCCCAGAGATCAAGATGCAGAGGTAGGCAATTCATGAACAGTATGGTCTATAGAGTAAGCTTCAGGGCAGGCATGGTTACACAGTGAGGCCCTCTCTCAAAAAAATGAAACAAAAGTAAATCAAGCCTGAAAAAAAAGTCCACCAGTGATGATCAGATCTACCATAGTCGTATATGAAGGCTGATGTGAGTCACTGAAATAGATGGGAGGTTAAATAACTCAGCAGGTTCCAGGAGCAGTCAGCAGAAGGGAATGCAACTGCCAACCACTCCTGGGACTTCTAGGTGCACACTTTTAGTGTCTCTGCTGGACCTTGGAAGCTGCAGCTGGACTGACCTCAGCACAGAGAGATAGCGCTGTGAGTGGGGTGCTGGAGGGGGCTGAAGTGAGAGCACAGGAGGGATCTCAGGGAGTCCCTCCAGCAGCACCTGGTTTGTCTCAGCTGCTGGGCAGCAAGGATAGCCAACTGAAGTCAAAGCATAGGTGGCTGATTGGCACAGCACTGATGGAAAACCAATTGGACTAGAAAGGGTGTGTGATCCTGGACATAATCAATCAGATACCCCTTTGACACCTGTAAGGCTTAAGGCATGGTCAGAGAATTTACAACATGAGTGTTCACATTCTTGTAATGGCTATTGATTAACCAAGATTGTCCATGACAACTAGGGATTGCTACTCCTTGGCCAACCAGACTTCTGCATGGGAATGGGTGCTGGCAACTAGAATTGCAATGTTATTGGAGATGCAAACCATATTTCAGTACAATCAGGTGTTCCCAGTTTTCCCTGTCCTCATGTGCAAGTTATTAGTGACAGCAAAATAGGAAGGAGAATTAAGAAAGGTACACAGTGTTGGTGAGCATTATTTGTTTTCCATTTTATTTTTCTCTTTATTCTCTCATGGAATTGTAAAGTACATCAGGACATTGGTTATTCTTCCATGCACTCCTTCCAGCTCACACTTCTCACTGTCCTAGGTCCACTCCACTCTCTTTCGGTTCAGAAACTAGCATGTCTACCAGTGATACCAACTGAACATGACACAACAAGATACAGAAGAGTAGGTACAAATCTTCTTCTCATGACTGGAAGCAACAACAGAGTAGGAGGGAAGAGGTCCCCAGATCAAGGGAAAGACTCAGAGACAACTTCACTCCCTGTGTGAGGAGTCCCACAAAAACATCAAGATAACATCTTTATTTGCAGAGGACCTAACACAGACTCATACAGACTCCCTGATTGTCAATTTGGTCTGTGTGAGCTCTTGTGAGTCCTGCTGAGTTAATTCTGGGTCCCGGGTTTTCCTGGTGTCCTTGACTCCTCTGCTCCTACAGTCCTCTCTCTCCTTCTCAGCTGGCATCCCTGAGCTCCAAAGGTAGGAATCTGATGTAGATCTTGAAGTCGGCCTCTCTCTGTGCCCAACGTTTTTGACTGTGGGTGTCAGCATCTGGGCGAGCAGTTTTGTAAACTTGTTCCAACAGCTGATATGCATGAATAGGAAAATCTAGGAGACATCATTTTCTTGTGCATGCTCACTTTGGACGTTTGATAAACTCACCACCATAGTAAACTATGTATGGCTTTTCAGGACCTCTGGATTTCCAGCTGATGGTTGTATGTAAATAGGACTTTTACAGGATGTGTATTGACCCTCAGCAAGAACTTTCAGGTTTAATCCATGGCAGGTGTAGTGCAAGGTAACAAGCCACCCTATGGAGGGGAAGGATGGCATCCCACATGTGGCAAGAAGATTCCTTAGGTAGATACTAAGAGGAGCTGATGAATGTAGAAGGGTCAAGTGGGACAAGTCCAAAGATATCTGTCAATGTGAATGCAAAGAGATGAGCCAAGTCTGGGTCAAACGATTGTTCACGTTTCCCAGTGTAAAGGTCTGCACTTCAGCAGACAGTTTTATAATACACTCCAATCCCTGCCCCAACAGGTGAGAGTTACAGCTCTCTCTGGCATGCTCTGTGTCAAGTGGCACATGGGGATGGTGCACACAGTCCATGCATGTTTTCAAGACCTTCAACTTACAGGGACATTACCTAGTGAAGAAATATGGCCACAGCCCCCCAATCTGAGTGTTAACATCCAACAAGTGCACAGAGAGGGACACTCCTGATAATTAAGTTGCACCTGGCTTGCAACTAGATACAGGGCAACTTTGCTCACATAGTCAGTCCATTTGTTAGAAATGGTAGGTTGTAGCATTCGTAGAAAAAGTTTAACTCTCATTTCCCTACAGATCCCCCTGAACGGTACCCATCAGTCACTCCAAACACCATCCAATGAGAAATACAAGAAGCACTTTGAAGAAATCATTGTTCCTAGACATACCCTGAGCTCCGTTTCAGCCAAAATCATTGAGAGAGACTTGAAGAGGTAGGTTTATCTTCCTTCAGATCTGAACATAGGACCATGAGAATGACCATGGTTCTGAATGTAGGTTCAGGGATCTTGTGGACAGCAAGAAGAGGATGGTGGCCTCTCACTCCTTCAGATTCATAGCCCTGAGTTCAAACAGATGACTCTGTCAGTGTGGGTGTTCTGCACAGAAGAGGATTTGCCAGGAGTGAAGGCACACCTCTGATGTAGTGTGTGTCAGGCTAGTGTTCAAAATGATTGAGTTTCAAATTTCACTCAACCATCACAAAGAGGTCTTCCAATGTGGGAACCTTAGTGACATGCCCCCTTTCACAAAAATGGCTCAGTGCTGAGAGAAGCAGCATAGCGTGTCCTACAAGTGATGGAGCTGGGACATAGAGACAAATTCACAAATGGTGAGCTGGGACATAGAAACTGCTCACAATTGGTACAGCTGCCACATAGAGCCCAGGTCAGAAATGGTGGGGATGTGATATACAGAAATGATCACAAGTGATAGAGCTTGGACATAGACATAAGCTTACAAATGGTGATCTTGGTATAGATGCAAGCTCACGAATGGTGGAGCTGGGACATAGACACAAGGTCACGAATGGTGGAGCTGGGACATAGATGCAATGTTGCAGCTGGGACATAGCACAAGCTCACAAGTGGTAGGGTTTGGACAGAGATCCAATGGTACGGCTAGGGTATAGACACATGTCTACAAATGGTTCAGCTGGTATGCAAACACAAGGAATGTGAACCCAGAACTGGCAGCACTTGGGAGGCAGAGGCGGGTAGACATCTGGGAGTGTGAGGTCTGCCTGATCTACTAAGCGAGTTCCATGACAGCCGGGGTATTCAGAGAAATGCTATGTGGAACAATAAAGGAAGGAATTGAGGCAGTGAGGGATGGAACAAGGGAGAAAAATGAAAAGACAAGAGAAAAGAGAGAAGAAAGAAGAAAATAATTAAAAGAAATGAAATAAAGAAAATGAAAACTTAGAAAAGACAAGAAAATGTAAGAGAGAACGAGAGAGACAAAGACATAGAGAGAAAAAGGGGTAGGGGAGGCTGACTCAGCACATAGTCTCTCGACATCCTTTCCGGTCCCACCACTCTTGTACTAGACACATTGCAGTAAATGATGGTTTTCCTCAACTGACACCATCCCTGACACATATATCTTGGTGTTCCTTCCAATGAGGATAGAGGACAGAGAGTGTGCTTTCTTTTTTACTCACACAGCAGAGCCTGCAGTGTCTTTGCATCCAGAAAAGTGTGATTCAAGAGTCTTGCAAAGGAATTCAGAGAAAATGAAGATTACACAAATTGGCAAATCCAGAATTCATTAATTAAATCTTTGAAAAATCCTTCTCTCCTTGCACACTATGGACTGTCACCTCACATTTCCATGTATTTCTCTTGAGAGTAAGGACAAGAAGGAGAGCATCAGATCCATGCCCCATGAGATCAGGTGGACACTATCTGAAGCATGAGACTAGGCATGAAGCATGAGCTGTACAGATGATTCCAACTGCACCTGAAATTGCAAAGGAAGGGAAGTCCCTCAAAAGGAAGTAAAGATGCACCATCCCTCCTTCTTTAGAAGTAGATGAATTACAATAAAGAGCAGAAATCTACAAGGTCGGAGACACTCTGTGGCCTTGTCAAATGTGAAGAACAATAAAGCCCATGTGGCCTGAAAGTGGGATGTTCTATGGTAGGACAGACAGAGCTCTACATTTAGGGACAGATCTGCTACAGGAGGGAAGTTATGTCCTGCATTCTAATAGGTTGTCTGCAAACAGGGTTGGTTTATTCCTGGACTCTCCAGAGTTTCTTTCCATCTTTGAAGCATGGCCTAAGCTTTCTTGTTTGTTTGTGGAGAATGTAAGTCTTTGTAAGTGAGGTGGTGACCACAGAATTCAGTGATGTTATGGGGAATGACAAATTCCAGGCTTGATTTTTTGTATTGTGTTTCTTCTCTTCCAAACACTGTGACATTCTCATGGCTACTAAAAGCAATGCCATTCATAGGTGATCACTCAGAATAGCTCTCAGATTCTTGGGCTTGGGGGTGGCTGTGTGGCCTGTTTGCTCTGTAGATAATTTCTTCAACAGGTCAGGCTTGGGAGTAATTCATGTTAGTCAGGTTACTGTCAGACACAGCCATGACCTCTTGTTTGTGGTGAGTTTTCTAGTTTGGCCTTCTTAGGGATTCCACCACATCCTTTCCTTTCCCTTGTTTAAGCAAGTTCTGTTAAAGGGCAGAATGTTTGCTGTGCAATGGTTGGATGGGAGAGGATTCCTCCTGGTGGACTCAAGAGGGAGTTTCAGGGTCTGCTTCCATGAGTCTCTCCACATTTCCCTCCATATACACAACTCCTTGTCCTCCTCTCTGTCTTGTCCTGCTTTGCTAAGGATGTGATCTTCAGGGCCCAAAGATCTCACTTGAGCTCCTACACTCAACTGATCTGAAGCCAAATCCTTGTGCAAGCAGTCAGCTGAGTGTTTGCTTCCACCATCCAGATTTGCTTCAAGATCCAGATTTGATGGTCGTTCTGTTCATTCCCCTCTGTCACACTCATGCATGGCCTTGAGCCTACCCAGCCAGGATCAGTCTTGTCTAAGGAAACAAGATACCGGGCACATTCCTTGTTCTGTGGTGACCGCTACCACAGGATCCCTGAGAATCTTCTTCTGATCATTGGCTGCTCTCCTGCAGGGTCTGGAGACCAAATTTGAAGGCAACGTTTTCTGCAGGCTTCAGTGTTCTCCTGCCTACAATGTGAACCCAGTTCTCCTACACACACATTGCCTTATCAGATGGCTTCTGTGGGTTGGTTTTCACCAATCCTCAAAATTTAAAGACCTGCATGTGTTGTTCACATTCTCTTTCAGAGAGAAGCCTGGTCCTTCAGAGAAACCTTTGTTTAATCTGTTACCAGCTCTGTTGATGGATTGTTGTTAAGGATCATGGGGTAGCATTGTAAAGCTGAAGACCTCAGTCAACCACAGCCTTGCAAACTCTCAGAAAATATTGTCGTGATAGTAACAAAATTAAAGGAGAAAATTAGCCTAATAATAGGTACCACTTCCTTGCCAATGGATTTCCTCAACATTTTTTGAATGAGTAAGATTATGAAAATAAACAAATCATAAATCAATGCGTAGCCAAAACAGATAAACATAAGTGGCCTGCTTTGGTAACATTTACATAACTCTGGATAATTCTTACTGAAATCACAAGAATGGGGGCATCATTGGCCCATGCCTGTAACTTCATTCTTCTGGAGGGAGAGGCAGGTAGATGGCTGTATGTCTGTGGCCAGACTGGACTATGGCAGGTTGTGGTGAGACCCAGACACTGAGTGAGGCCCCGTCTCAAAAGAAACTAAACAGCTATCACAAAGTATCCAGGAATGAAAACTCGTAGTGTGATTCATGAATGATTGACATTTCCAAATGAAGACCTGATGAGAAGCAAATTGTATAGGACACAAGTCATGTGCTCTTTTTGTGTTTTATACTTTAACCTAAATTCTTTCTTTTGTAGGATGTCATATCCAAGAGCACATTTATACCATTTTCCTCCCTCACTCTCTATGTGAGAACTGCTCCAGTATTGCCTCTCAGATCTTCCTTGAATTCAAGACCTATTCTTGTGTGATTAGGGTAGTTACACAGGTACACATGTTTGCACCTCCAGGAGGACGCAGAGACCTCTGGACACATTCTCACAATCCCTCTGAATCTGTTCCACATTGCTCCAACTTGTATAGCAATAGGGCTTACCAGGTGAGTTTAAGTAACTCACCACGATGTTCAAGTCTGCAAAGAATTGCTTCTCCCTCTCTTGGCAACCACAGAAACTCATTGCAACTCATTGTCTAATGGGATTGGGGTTTGTGAAATTTCCCCCAGCAATGTTGTCATCGTCACTATTGTGACCACCATGATGCAAGTCTTTGTTTACACAAACGGTGTTGAGATTTCATTGAGTGCAGCGTCCCTGTAACGTGTAGAGGATGCTAACCCAAGTCCATTCTCCCATCCTGGTTTTCTGGCTTTTACAGTCTTACCACCTCCTTGACTGTGGTTTTCCCTGATCCATGGCTGTAGGGGTTCCTTTGTAGATGTACCAGTTGGAGTACAGTTGAAGTAGATGCTGGTGGCTCTTCCTCAATTTTGTTAAGTCATGTTCTTCACTAAATTCTTCCCTTAGCCACACAGCTCTGAGAACTTGTTCTTGGGAGTTCTCTTCCCTTCCCCTAACAAATACCCGGCACAGTCACAAGGTGGGCCTCAAGAGTTTCCCCTCAAGGGTTGAAGACAACATCACCCTGCTTCTTGAGGATTCCCTTACAAACTGAGGAGACAAATTCCTGTGCTATGAGTTGAAGCTCTTGGTTGATGCATTCTAGTCTTTCCTTTCTACACCCATAACTGTCAAGTGCCACTCCTTTTAATCACAACCTTTGCTCTGAAACGTTTCTCATCTCACTCCTTTTCCATTTGACACTCAGAAGAGAGCAGAACATTGATTAGAAACACTCAGAGACGATCTCCCTAGAGAGAGAGGTTTTATCTAACATGCCATTTGACTGTATGAATCCATGTTTTTGAAAACTGCTTAATTATCTTGGAAATTTGTGTCTTATGCATCTGAACTATAGTTATGCTACCCTGTGAAAGCATTTGAAAGAATACATAATTGCTAAAATGACTCTGGGTAAAAACTACTCTGGTGACTCAGATACACCATAAATACCTATGGTGAACTGGTCTCTGAAACAGCCATGAATTCCACACATAAATACAATGTATCCCTGCCCGGAAGGTCCTTTTTCATTCAAACCACAAAACTGTCCTTGCCTATGAAAACTATTAAGCTGGAAGTTGAAGATGCATATCACCATCCTGCTGGGGCCAGAAGCCCAACTGGCTTTCATATTAATGAATAAGACTCCATATAATTTATGCAGGAATTTCAAGGAGGTTGTAACACATGT